AGGAATGCTACATAAGTGAAGCATCCTTCTCAATGTATCACATAAAAAGGCACAGGATGTTTACTTATCCCGTAGTTGGTGATGTTAACTTGAGGGGGTGTCTTTTGGTTTTATCTACTGTAAAGTTACTATTTTTAAAAATTTATAAATATTTTGGAGAGGTTACTTTAAGAATGAGTAGATATCCTATTCCTTATCAAACTCTCACCTATTAGTTTAACATCCATTGATGATGCCTGAATCAATTTTACTGTGATGTTTATCAAATGGTGGTTTTCTAATGTCATATTTTCTTTAACATTTTTTTTGTTGGCACTTTACTTACTATAAAGAACAGCTTTATATTCTTTTCCATTTAGGTATTTATATCAGTATGGGTTCATGAATTCCTGTTTTACTGAAAAGATTGTAATTCACTACTCTCACTATTTATTTTGAAGTTAAAATGATCTAATATTTGACCCTTGGGAGCCCTTTCAATCTGCTTGTTGTGTCTTTTTGACATATCTCCATCATTCTTTGAGCATTTCTTTATTTTATGGCACAATAAAATGTTGCAGGTTCATCTTATTTTTTCTGTTGCCACAGCCGTTGAAATCAGTCATTTCCTCAAGGAGCTCTACTTTCATTTAGTGGAGAATGATATTTCAAAACAAGATCAGTACACTAGGTACATTTGGGGTATCATTCCTTCTAGGCCATCTCAATGGACAAAGTTAGAAATCTATACTTTTTCTTATCTATTAAAAACTTTGAGCTTATATTGATATCTCTAATTCCAGTTCAGTGCCACGTGTTTATTCTTATATTTCCTTTTCTGTGTTTGATCTCCCTTCTCCCACAGTGAGAAACCTGGTTCCCACTATCCTCAGTATATTTACTTATTTGTTTAATCTTGCAAAACACTGAACGTAGTTTCAGAATTGCTAACCCATCACTTCAAAAACCAGACTTGAGAAGGTACAAAGCTCTTACGTCTATGTGACCTTCGGGAATTGAAAGCTAAGACAGACTTGTAAACTGCCTACTTGAGTGTTCAAGGTGTGTCTCAACACATGCACAGTGCACCTCTGCAAAGGTTGGAGACCTACTCGTTCAAAGCATTAAGAAAACCTCTGTCCAACGATGATCTGACCAGTCAGCTAGCCAGACCGAGACTTTAGTGGACACACATGACAGAGAATACAGAATTTAGAGAATTAGTCCAGAAATCACTAAACAAAAAAACCCACAATAAACCTTTGGGTCAGGAGGGAGATTCTGATTTTCAGAGTTGCCACATTATATTATCTAAGATGTCTGGTTTTCAACAAAAAATTATGAGACATGCAAAAACAACAACAACAACAGAAATATGGCCCATACATAGGAAAAGAAGCAATCATTAGAAACTGTTCTTGAGGAAGCCAGGATGTTGGACTTATTAGACAAAGTCTTTAGATCAACTATTTTAAATATATTCAAGTAAAGAAAGGAAGGTATGTCTAAAAAATTAAAGGGGACTATAAAAACAATGTCTCACCAAACAGACAGTATCAATAAAGATAGAAATTATAAAAAACAGCCATGTAGAAATTCTGGAGTTGAGAAGTACAATCATGGAAATGAAAAATTCACTCGTGGATTTGAACTGGCAAAAGAAAGAATTAGAAAACTTGAAGACGAGTCAATTGATAGGCAACCTGATGAACAGGGAGAAAAAAGTATGAAGAAAAATAAACATAACATCCGAGACTTGGGGGACACCATCAAGCATACCAACGTATGCATAATGAGGGTCAAAGAAGGAGAGAAGAAAAAGGGGCAGAGAGAATAGTTGAAGAAATGATAACTTGAAAACATCCCAAATTTGATGAAAAACAATCTACACATAAAGAAGCTCATTGAATTGCAAATAGGATAAATTCAGAGAGATGCACACCTAGATATATCACAATCAAACTGTTGAAGCCAAAGACATTGAGAAATCTTGAAAGCAGCAAGAAAAGTGACAAGAAATCCCCAAGAAGATTAACAGCTGACTTATCAGAAACCATGGAGGCTGGAAGGCAGTGAGGTGATATATTCAAAGTACTGAAATAAAAAAGATTGCTAATTGAGAATTCTATAACCAGCAAAACTGTTCTTTGAAAATGAAAAAATTAAGACATTCCCAGATAAACAGAAACTGATAGATTTTGTCTGTAGTACACCCTCTAAAAGAAAAACTGGAGTTCCTTAGGATGAAATGAAAAGTTCATTAGATAATAACTCACATTCTGTTTAAAGAATTAAAGTACAAAGGTAAAGGTAAATAGACAGGCTGGTATTTTACTTTTAGTTTGTAACTGCTCTTTTTAAATTTCTATTGATTATAGAACACACTAGAGATAATACATTTTATCTTCAAATACAGGTATTTGAAGACCTGATAGACTGCTGCATACTATAAAACTTATGAATAACCAACTTACCTCTGATAAAATGGAGAGTAAAGATTTTGTAAGTTATGGATATGTCTCCTGTTCACACCCTTAGAATTTCCATTTCTTTCTGGCTATAGGGTCTTTTATCCCAGGAGTATTTTGCTCTCCCTGTCAATGCCATGCGTGGTTTTCCAGGCCTTGACTATCCTATCATACTGTTAATATAAAAATAATTAGTTTTCATTCACAGACAGTGCCAGTATCTTAGGTATTTGAGTAAGATATGCTCAGAAGAACAATGGAGATAACTCTGTAAAAATTACATTGAAATTAATGGAAGTCCTGTGGTCTAATATCAGTATATTCTGTCCAAGGTAAAGGACAATTATGAAAGGTAGTGTAATGGAACTGGACTGCTTGTGTTTAGTTCTTGGCTTCACTACTTAATAGTTATTTGTCTTTGGCCAAGTTACTTAAGCTCTTTGTGCTAAGTTTTCTTATCTAAAATGTCCTGGGAAAAACTTTGGTTTAATATATTGGAACTAGTATTTCTTTTTCACAGTAGTCATTGATCCTTGGTCTCAGCTTAAACAGTTCTCTGTTATTCTTAACTTAAATCGCAAAATGTTATTCTTGCTTTAAAATTATATTTTTTGTATATGCTATTTCTTTGTTTCAGAATAATGTATCATCCTTTAAAAGGCCAGAATAATGCCTCCAAGCTAGATGTGCAAAACTTTTTTCATGTATGAATAAACATTACTTTAACATATAAAATTTGATTTCTTTCTGGCTACATTATTATTCATAGAAGAGAGAAATAATAAGAAAATTTATTCTACAATTTTAATAGGTCCAATTTGATGACCTATTTTAGTAATTACTGATTCGATCTAACTTGTATTTATTAGAATAAAAATCTAGATCAAATTTAAGAAAACATGTTTGTAAAAACATAGATTTACGTATAAATTAAAGACAGTGGTTAATATTCAAGAAGATTCAACAAAGCTTAATTTGAATTGAATTGCAATATTTTCTGGAATCTCCATCTTGAATTTGAGAGAAAAACTAGAGGTAGGGTAGCAAAGGTCAGTAGCTGAAGGCTTAATTTTCTTGTTTTTTCCTGCAGGGGAAA